GTCGGTGGGGAGAAAGTGGAAAATTTTCGCACTCGAAGTGCTCGGTGTCTGTCGGCAACAGAAGGGAGCCGCGGGGAAGGGATTTCATGCTTGCAGGAGCTGGAGGTAACTGGGATGGAGCGTTGTCTCCTTAGCGCGAGTCTGCAGGTAGCCGAAATCTGGTTTTGAAGTGTGCTAAGTGTTTCCAAAACAGTAGCGCGCCCGGACCAGGCGTTCTCTCAGTCTTCTTTCGGTTTCACAAGCGGGTTGTTCATTCTCCAGGTATCAAAATAATGATTGTGACTAATTGCAGCGTACCCCCTGTAGTCATGCACAGGCTTCTGAGTGAGGCTTTTTTTTTTTCTTGTCACAAGAAAAAACATGGCATATACCCGTAGAGAGTTAGGAAGATGATGACGTTGGGCATGTTTAGTGGTACAAGCCAAATTTAAAACATGCGTTGCACTTACTGATAATGCAGGATCGATTCTGGCAGGGAAGCTGTATCATTCCCTTAACGATATCACAGATGAAACTCAGTTTCACAGTGCACGTTGCGTAGGTAGACTGGTAATTTCTTATAGACTCAATAATATATATAGGTACCGTATATATAATTTAAAAAGGTCATTTTCTTTCTTGTGGCTAAATAACAGGCTTCAGTGTGACAGGCTTCAGTAGCATTTGAAATCTGTGCAAAGCACACTTTGAGCCCTTACAGTGTTTATTTTCTCTGTTCATACAGGTCCATGAGGACCTGTTTCAAGACAGCCCTCTTGTAGCTCTTGAGGAGTCTGGTGCAAGGCATAGCAAAGTCTATGAGAAGCTGTATTTTGATGTACGGGAGGGGAGTAAAAACTTACATGACTATGTATTGGCTGGTGTCAACTAAAAACAATAGAGCTGAATGAAAAAAGGGTTTGGTTTGTGTAACTCGGGTGCAGGATGCAGAAACTCGTACCCCATCCTGCTCTCTCTAGTGGCAGTTTCCGGAGAAGGGTTCCTACTCAGCATCTTTAGGAAATCAAGACCTTTAAGTAATTTTCTTGAAAAACAGGTACCTTAGTAAGCTATACCTAGGGATTTGTGCTCTCAGTCACTGTCTTCCCTTCTCCTAGTGAACAAGGATTCACATTGTTTTCCTTGCATAAATTAGCACCTTCCCATGCACTTGTTTTAAAAAAAAAATTTTCCAGTAAAACACTGTAGTCCAAAAATAAAATTCCCACCAGAGTACAGTAACAAGGACTTTCATTTTCTCTTATTTTTAATACAAATTCTGGGCATTTTACTATTCCAGAGTCTGATACAGTGAGTTTTGGTACCCTTTAGCCTATTAATCATAATTGAACTTCATGCAGAACTTCCACTCGAATCACGGAAGAGTTGGCTTTTCGAGAATGACATGGTGGTTAGAAAATTGCTTACCTTTACTGCCCAAATTTACACAGAAACTGTTTCAGTATTGCTCCCAAAGAAGGAAGTTTAACTAAATAGGTATCGTTCTATTGCCTCATGTTGCTGACTCCATTGAAAAATCTTGCATGGTCTCTGACAGGGTGAACAGATCAGCTTTTGTGAACAGCCAGATCCTGTTCTCCAGTATGAGTCCCTGACTGTCCTCCAAGGGACAGGAGCGTACAACCAGTGCCACAGAAACACTGCCCAGACCCCCACTGCATGTGGGGATACTTGGCTGGTAAAGGCCACAGATGAAATGTCAGCTGCCTGTGCTTTGCCTGTAGATGAAAAGAGAGCTTTAGCAAGGAAAATGCTGCTGTCGGATATGAAGACCCAAGTTACTGTTAAGTTAGCAAAATAAGGACTGTGTTTAACAGAGCAGTTTGCAGAGCAGTGTGGTGCCGCTCTTGAGGAACGGCAAATAGAAAGAATAGTATTCCTCAGGGTAAAGAAAATAGAGACAGGTGCAAAATGTGGGTTATCATTGAAATGTTGGTGTAATTAACTTAGCTGAGTAGAATATTATGTAAGTAGAAGAAGTGTTAAGCTAAAAGCTCCTGTTGAAGGCATGAAAAGAGCAAGAGTCGTGGAGTAAGAGTTAATATTGTTAAGTACTGCCAAACATAAGTGTTTGATTTAAGCCAGCTGGGATAGCAAGTGATGTGTGTTAGTTGTACAAGGAGGAAGGTTCCAAGGTGCCAACATCCACCTGGAGTTCGCTGCTTAGCCTTTCTCAGCAGGTTGGGCTGTTCGTTCAGGAGCTGTGTCTAGTAAGTGCTCCTGTCTCTCATCTAGCCTCAAAATTCCAGTTTTGGGAACTAGGCAAGCAATAGGCATCACGTCTCTAATTGCAAAAGTCAGTTAATCATTGTGGGAACAGGGAGGGAAGAGAAGCATGTGGGAGGGGAAAGAAGGATGGACCCCTTACTCATGTTTATTTATGAATGTCATAGCCAGAAACAAAGTAACACGGGCACTGTTTGATCAAAAAAACCTGTGTTCCTTCAGCCAGTATCGTTCACTTTCCATTCTTTTGGTAGCAAAGTTATTTGCACTGTGGTGCTTGGAGGCAGTCAGGGTTTACTGCATCAGGGTTGATGCATAGTTTAGTGGACCAGCTATGCGTTGATGGAGGAGCTTTGGGTATCTCTTGGAATAAAGAATGCCTGAGCTAGGCACCAGCGTAGGGAGGTCTTAGCTCCTCATCTTTGGATCCTTTACCTGCATCACATGGGTGATACATCAGATCTGATCAAAGTGTTTGGGCACTGGTTAATCCTGCTTTTTGTGATACACCTTTCCCAAAGTGCTGGTTATTGTCTTTGTCTTCCTTCTTTACAAGCTGAAGGTCTTAGTCTTGCCTGTGCACGTCTCTTGACCCTGTAGTGACTCTGCCCTAGAGTTTTTTCTTGCTTTTACAGTGTTAAGGTCCAGAACTAATTTAAAGGACCAGTGCATCAGGTTGGTTACCTTGAATGTACAAGCAAATACTCAAGCAAATGTCCAAGCCTGGGACCTCGAATACCTTAAAGCATTCAGTGTTAGAACGGTGGCCAGAGCAAATGCATCCTAAAGCAATGGGGAACATCTCTTGGGTGACCAAGGAGTTCTGTGGGGAAGTTTGTTTGAAAAGAGTATAGATGTCTTGCTGATTCATCCATTGCTGCATCTGACAATAATGGACCAGGTGTCAGGTGCAGGATTGCTTTCATGTGTCCAGCTCCCTTGAAACATATGTTCTTCATTCTTCCATGATTTAAGTGTTTTATTTATCTGCACTCTAAGAGTATATAATAGTCACTTTTTTTCCATGGCAACGCCTGTTTCCAGAATTTGCCATCTGGTGTTTCACGTTTCTTTCTCTCTTTCCTTTTTTTTCTTTTTTTTTTTTTCTTTTTTTCACTAGCTCTAGCATTACTCATTCTGTATCCATTTTGACTTCAGCATCTGAGTGACATTTTCTTTATTGCTCATCAGAAGTTTCAGTAGGTCTGTATTCTAAGCCCTCTGCAGATATATAGCTAATCAAGCTGGCTATATTCCTTTTTAGAAGGAGAGAGATGCTGCTTCATGTGAAGTATTAATGGACTACAATATTCTTGCAATTTTTGCTAGTGTGGTATTTATTTATATGGTATGTTTTTAATAGTTTTTTTTCTGTCTAAATGTTTAAAATATCTGCTCTTTAGACAATGTAAATCATATAAGCCATATGTGCGTTTAAAAGACAGCCAAAAACTTCTTGTCTACAGTTTAGCAGCCTTTGCTTATTTTTCTGTATAGAAAGAATAGAAAATGCAAAAGGTAATGTCATACACATAAAAAAACGGGTGTGCAAAAAACTGCTAAACAGTGCTCTTTTGGTCCTCTTGATCTTCCTCCTAAGTTCCTTCCTGTTGCCTTTGTACAACTATTTGATCTTGCCTTTACATGTTTTTTTAATTGCTGCCTTAGAAACTGCTGTCATGAGGGTAACACAGGCCCTCGGTGTGGGAATCTTCACAGGAGCAGAAGAATGCCGATAGCAATAAGATTACTCCCTTGAACTTAGAGGAACGAGCTCTTATACCAAGGGAGTTAGAAGACCATGAGTTGGTTTCTGGCAGAAACAGTGGTTAGGTAAGAATTCCTGAAAGCCCAGGACAGACAGTCTTTGGCTGGGGGAGGTGGCAGGGTCCTCTACTCTGTCGAGTGTTGTGGAAACCCACATCCCGCCTGGAGTGGGCATTGCAGTTCCTAGACTCCCTACTCCTTGTTTCTTGGAGAGTTGTCGTGCCTATTATTGCCAGACCAGAGAATTTAAGAGTTGAGAATTCAGCTGCCAAGAGCCATGTTGTAGATTAAAATACCATGGAATTTAAAAATAAACAGAAAGTGTGCTAAAATTCTGACTTGGCAACAGAAACTTAGCAGCAGTAGAGTCGATGTCCTCTAGGAGTCAAATGGGGCTGAGTTAGGCTCCAGATTGTAGTTTTTTTGAAATAAACAAAGATATTAGGCATGCTTTTAGTCTGTTTTGGAAAATGAAAAGATTATCCACATTTTTTCCCTCAATTTCTTTTCTCTTCCTTGGCACTTAAAAAATAAAAAAAACCCAAAATGAATGACATGAGCAGAAAATCAGAAAATACTTAGCTCAGTGCTGGTCAGTCCTAGGCAAAGCAATTAATTTGACCTCTCTGGTTTTGAATACTGTAATTGCACTCCTGTTAGGCTGTCGCTCACCTCCACAACAAGTGACCCTACTGCTAGCATGGTGGTGCGTTGCAGGAATGTCAGCGGACACTGAATTCTGTGCGGTTCTGCCCATGTATTACTTGACAAAGAATTAATTGTTTTCTTACAAGTCACAAAGTGGGTGTGATTATTCACTGGATTGTGAGTAGGTATTTCAAAATCATGCTTGATAGTCAGGAAGAACAAGTACTTCAATGCAAACCTATCACCTTTGTACTAAGTGTGTAAAATCTGTTTTAAGATATGACTCTTTTTGCCTTCATGTAAAGCTGATGTGGGATACAGATTTAAAGTACCTAACTGTGTTTTCTTTCTTTCAGATTGTGTTTTTGGAACAAACTGATCAGCAAGAGCAACTGGCTAAGAAGTGGGAGTTCAAAACGTCTGACATAAGAGAACTGAGTAGCCAGTATGTGTTTTGTTTAGATTAATATCAGCAAATGCAGTCTATTCTCTGAGTGAAGTAATGCGAGTCTCTGTGAATACGTTTTGGCAGAGAGCACATTAAATCCAATCTCATGGGCAAGACTCCCTTTCAGCCCTGTGAGAGCTCTTAGCCCAAGAGCTGCCTGCGTCCTGGATGGGACTTGGAGGGTGGACAGTCCGTGTGCTTTTTGCATTCCTTGGTTTGGGACTGCAGCCATGGCTGAATTGTGCTGGCTGCTTTACACTGCACTGAACAAAATGCCATATTTAGCTTTCATACATGACCTCTTCTGTGCTTACAGAAGTAAGTGACATTGTTTCTTGAGATTACATTTTATATCCATTTTGTTAGCAGCGCTCTGTGCCTAACTACCTCGAAACTCTAGACTTGGTAAATGTAGGTAACACCAACACTGCAGATATAAAACTCAATTGCTTGGGCTTTGACACACTCCCTAATAAAAACTAATAAAATTAGAAGATTTAAACCTAAACACAGAGCCTTGGATTTCTAACTGTATTGCAGCTAGAGCGTTTCTTTTTTCTTCAGCCAGTGAAATCCCCCACCTTTCTGGTGAAGTGAAATAGTTTTGGATTGCACCTACTATGCTTTGCATGTAGTAGCACAACTGTGAATGACTTGTGGCTTAGAACCTAGAGTTGTAGCATCGTTTTAGTATTCAGTTGTTAAAAAATCTGTATGCTTTGTTGGAAGGCTAATCATACAGAATACATGAGTCACCAGATGTTTTCTTCACTTGAAATAGCCTGAGGAAAATGGAAGGTGCTGGGAATATGGATCAGATTGAGAAAGATCTTTCAGCATTTCTAGCATGCAGGAAAACAGGAAGAAGGGGAACTGCAAAGAGATGAAATCACTGTTCATTCAGAAGTCAGGGAGAAGGGAAGAGGAGTGAGAGAAATTTATACTGTATGGAGTTCCAGCACAAAATAAAATAATTATAGCAACTTCCTGGTAATGTTGATATATTCATCCCTGCTATTAAATGAACACTACATGGCAACAAACATTTGTATGTTCCATTGCAAATATGTCTTTCCTGTCAAGATATTGAGCAGAGCTTTTTTTCACCAGTGTCTGTGTCTGCGTTTGTAGACACAGTGGCTGTTCTTCCATTAAATCTTGAAATTCATTGGTTGAATATATATGTAGACACATTCATAATGTAGAGGAAAACTGGGATATCGAAAGTTACAGTTTTGTAAATATAATGGTCTGGCAGCTAGAGATGCAAGACTGTGCCCAAATCCTCTTTTTTTTTCAGGTGGATTCTATGGTGGAGTAATTGTAGTTATTGTGAAGTCAGTTTGGTTCTATTTGTTGGTATTTAGTCTGGGTAAATACTAAAGATAATTGGATTCATCACGCTCTAATATTGTTTTTCTCTCAGTTAGCTATATATGTCTGTGTAAAAGTTATTATTCAACTGCTTCATACCGTAAAAGAAGTATGGATAGAGGTACAGTAGGAGTTGATAGGCTGATGCTGAAAGAGGAAGGTTACTTGCCATTTACTCTGGTGGATTTTGCTCAAACATACTGTTCAAAGCAAAACTACTTACTGTGGCAAATTCTGTGACATTTTGGACTGTTGCAATCTAGTGAATTCTTCATGCCAGGAATGGTTGATACACACATTCATGCCCCTCAGTATTCATTTACTGGTACAAGAGTAGATCTACCTCTTTTGCAGTGGTTGACTACCTACACATTCCCAACAGAAGCCAAATACAAAGACAGTGATTTTGCAGAAGAAGTGTACACCAGAGTTGTTGTAAGTACTGCAAATGTCATTTACCTACTTGACGACATTCATATTTGTGAAATAGATGTATGTTTTCAGAAGCTCAGCAGAAATAGTAGAGCATGTTTTAGTGTCATGAAAACCAGATAAACCCAACAGTATAGGCACTGTTCTAATTGCCAACCAAGATTGTCCCCTACTAGTTCCAGTCTTGTTTGTTGTTGCTGATAAGACAGTTCATTTAATCACATGGTTAACAATGAACTTGTTTGTCATCTTTTCAGATATCTGAGTACAATGACCAACATCTAAGAGTACTCTCAGAGCTAGTATAGCCAGCAGGTGCTGACAACTCCAATGCAGAAATAACCAAATGTGGCAAAAAGAAAAAATTCAGGGGGTATTTCCTTTTCTGCACAAAAAGCCTCTATTATGAAATTGTGTTTTGCACAGACTACATGAAAGAGAAGGTGCTTCTCACAGACCACAAATCTGGGGTGTTTTGGAGTAACGAAGGAAGACATTTCTACAGCTGAGATCCTTGTAGCAGGAATACCTTTCACTGCAGGGGCTTTAGATGAAGTCTGTCAATGGTATTGTGGCACAAAGAGAGAGACTGTGTTTGAGCTAGGCTGGTTCTGAGCAATATAAAGGTTTGAAGGTCAAATTCCACTTGATGAACAAGAAGCAGTTAGGTCACATTGCAGAGTACTGATTCTGTCCTATAACTGAAATGTATTCTTTAATATGCAGACTGAAATATCTGCAACAGATTAAATGTTTTGGCCAGCATAAGTTGCCTTGCATTTGTCTAATACTGTGACAACATATGTTGTCAAAATAATAACGTAGTGAATCTGAAATAAATAGTTACACTGTCCTTGCCACACAAATTTTTTAAAAATTACTTTCTGCCATCATAAAGAAGTGGGAGCAGCTTGTTCATAAACTCTAGTGACAAGCACACATGCCTTCATCTTCTTAAAACATAGAGGTGATCTCACCTTCCAGCTGTGTGCCTCAACATACTGTTAACGTCTCCATCAGTCCAGATTGGGTGACATCAGCACAGCTGAAGTACTCACTGTGCAAGGTGCTTAATAACATCACCTGGAAAAGAACTGCCAGTGAGAGATGGAAGTTAGTTGTAGGAGCTTCAACACAATGGTTAGGCTCTCCCCAGGTGTATCCAATAGGACAAGGTCAGGAAAATGTCTTCACCCCCAAATGCTGCAGACTACCAGTTGCTCTGCAATGTTTGATGGGGCTGATAATAACCTTCAACTGTTAGAAACAGGACTAAACCTGCAGGGAGCACATGTTGTTTCATATGTATTTTTGTACTTTTGGAGTTGTAATGAAAACATAGTGAATTTTTTCAAATCAAAATTCTGTTTCCAATAAACACTTCCCAGACTCGGTAAAAGAAACAAATTAGGCGAAATTTGCTAGATTTTAGCTGGAACCTTCTCTGGTCCCTCAAATTTTAGGAAAGCCAATTCTTCATGCTGATGTTTTGGAAATAGAATGTTTTTACATTTCATTTAACAATGATGCTAGGAATCCTGAAGTAGAGAATTCTGGGGTTTAAAATCTAAGAAAGACAAAGGTAGTTTGTCTCAGTAATGACATTGTTATTTTTGAGACTCCTTTTAGGAACCCTTAAAGACATATTTTTAATTATTGGCTTTAATTTGAATATTGTATGGAAAAGACAGAGCTTGGCTTTATGTTTGTCAAATAATTACCTCTGGCCATTCTAAAAAGTTGTGTTGGATGTCCCACCTTCTGTCTCATTAAAAAAATAAAATAAAATTCTCAAATTACATTGTAGCCAGAATCCAAAAATGTAATTTAAACCTGTGTGTTGGATGGGTAGTCAATGTAGTATGCATTAGTCCCAAGATCAAGCGAAGCTGTACATTTCATCGTGACTTAATGTAACTTTAAATGGCTCTTCATTTACTGTTATGTCCTCCAAAAGTAATATGAACAGGTATCGACCACCCTCTCCTTTCAAATGGTATAATTATATAAATAATTAAAGTACACTCTGAGCAGTTGTTCTCAGTTTACTTTTACCTTGAACTTTGTTACTTTGTATTCAGAGATAACAAAGGGTTTTTATACGTGAAAGCCTGGCTATTTTTCCCAGCCACATCAGGTGGCCAAATGGAAACCACTACTTTTTCCCAAAAGTCTTGCTTTGCTAACATTAGGTAAACAGTGCTTCACTGTGAAAACTGGAGAGCCTTTCAAAACTAGGAAATAACATAAGTGACTGGTTGGTTGTATTTCTAAATATAAGTCAGAATTTATTTCCAATTTGAGTGAAGGAAATACAGACTGGTTTCTATGGGTTCAGCCATTGTTAAAATCCTGTATGGATTTGGAAGAGGAATTTTTGTATTTATTAATACTCAGACTTAAAAAAGCTGTTATGAAATTAAAAATCTATATTTTACCTTCCCACTTCACTGCACAATTTCACAATAACTAAATGTTCTCGCAGTTTGAAATCAGACTGCCTGTTCTGCATTTTGGCAGCTTGACTATTTTTTTTTCCAGACAGTTGAAACTGATTTCTTTTTATAGAGACGAACTCTAAAGAATGGCACGACTACAGCTTGCTACTTTGCAACAATTTACACGGATACTTCATTACTTCTTGCTGAAATTATAGGTAAGACTAACAGTGAGTTTTGAAGGATGTTGCACAGACTGTTAGTTGAAGGAAACAGAACTCAGGAGTTTCAGACTAGCTAGGCATCTGTCTTTCTACTAATTTGTTTTTTATTGTATCTGTCATACTGTGTTCCCAAAATCCACCCTAGTTACCCTTGTTCACTTAACTGCCTCTTTCCTACTGTTGTCTCTGCTAGTCTGTTCATTCCCAAATCAGCTGCTGGCTGAGCTTGAGTTAGGTCTGCTGGAGTTGTTCTTCAGCTGCAGTTCTCTGCTCTTTCTAGCCTTTTGCTATTTGAGGATTGAAGGGCTGAATGACAAGAGGTGCAGTCAGTGCATTAATTTCCTGATACTCTGAAGTTTCAGAATCAACATCAAAAATCGCCACGCACACTCTGAAATGAGAACAGTGGGAGTTGCATCAAGATCTTAACCCTCCCTTCTGTTTACTGTTGCAAATGCCTGCTGTTTGAAAGTGGTGTGATTCTTGCAGGATTTCTCAAGGCTCAGCCAGCTCCCGAAGTGGAGCAATTTAATGAGAATCTCAGTTTCCATCAAAAATTCCCTAGTCTTTCTGATTTTGTAGGAAAACCTAAAACTTTGAAGCTGTTGTATTCAGTAACTCAGACAGTAGAAGCGGACAAAAGAGGTCTAATTTAAAAGCTTAGACTTTAATGTTATATGCATTCCTTTTACACGTGATTTCTGAGTCCTAGCATGGATGAAGCTCAAGAAAGAGGCTAGAAGTAGCTCTGGTAATTTTCTCCATCCAACTGCACGTGGGAGGCATGTTAGGAACCTCATTCCTTTCTCTTAAGGAGAGGTGGTTTGCTTGTGCCTTTTTTCAGATCAACGTAATCGTCTACTACAGCTTCTGTACTTTGATGCTTGTGTTTCTCATTCTCTACTTCACAGTGGTCTTCTTCATATACTACCATTATGAATTCTGGTTGTGGTCAAACTACAGTAATCTAGTCCTCAATTATAACATTTATAAAGTTGGGTACTAATGTGGAAGAGGAGAACTCCTATTTAAATGTTTTGGGTTTTTTTTCTCTTTCCTTTTTAGCCCTGAAAGTCTCATGGATGGTCCCAACTTAAAGATAAGAAAAGAGCATAAATTCTGTTCACCTTAAGTGAAGCTGGCTGGGGTGGAATTTGCTATTTTGATTTCAGTACAGGCTTTGATAGCAGTTTTAAGAACCAGTGATTCTGAGTTTTATATTCTTATGCATCTCAACAGATAAATTTGGCCAACGAGCATTTGTTGGAAAAGTCTGCATGGATGTGAATGACAGTGTGCCACAATACAAAGAGATTACTGCTGACTCTGTCCAAGAGACAGAAAGGTAAGGTGATTAAATTGGTGGCACAACCTTTAGACATAAGACTTTTTCATACATCTGAAAAGTGAATGTGAAGCTGACTAAGAACCCACAGGTGTAAATTTATAAGGAACAGATTTTTTCTTCCGACAGTATTGTTTCCTACAGTTCTGGCAATTGCTGCGCAGCCCAAGCGGTTTCGCTGTAGCTCTTCCAAAGAAAGGGAGAAGCTACAGCTCTAGGATTTGGAGAGAATATGTGTATGTTGTTGTCTGTTTTCTGCCTCCTCTTTTCCCTTCACAGCTCTGTGTGTGGAGGTGTGTGACCTGACATGGAATGGTGGGGTGGCCGCCATTAACTTCTGAGTTATTTCCTTCCCCCGTTTAGGGTAAAGCTTTATTCAAATTGTAAAAGTCAGCTTTCATATACCCCATTTTAAACATGCTGTGGTTCTCCTCTCCTCCAGCATAGCACCGGCAGAATGACTCTAACTTGCAGCTCAGAGAGCGAAGGAGAGTCAAATCAAGGCAATGTACGTGGCAGAGGGGACCCAAGACTGAGTACGGCAGCCTGCTGTCTTAGGTTTCCCTTGTCTTTCACATCCATGCTCAGAAAATGCTTAAGCAGATGTACAGCTTTTCTCACAGGACTATTTATTTACTTATATAAAGGTTTCAAATATCATGCTGAAAGAGAAAATAATAATAAACAGTAATATAAACATCTTATGGCACTTACGTGAAGCTGCTACCTTATTTTTGCAAGTCATGCTAGAAGAATGCCAGTAAAAGATAGAAAAGATCATGGATTTCTAATGGTGTTTATATTTAAAGACATTTTTAAAAAGTATTAGTCATTTGCACTCTACTAACATTTGTTTTCCTTCACATAAACCCTCATTTTTTGTCATACAGCATGAGTCTTTTTCTGCTGAATGGGCCTGAAAGTGGAAGAACTTCCAGTTCTGATATTTCTGATTTCAGAATGATCCAAATAGCTTTCTTTCAAATACCTGCCTTGTGCCTCCAACTCCCTTCTGTTAATAACAAATGTTTCTCAGCTTTGGATGAGAGTGTGCCACAAGTACTCCAGAGCTGTCTAGAGAAGAGCGCTGTGTGCTTGTCGGCATTGATCAGGGGCACTTACCTCATCAGGCCTGAATCGCAGCAATACAATTGCAGAAGGATGAAAAAGCTCTTCCTTTAAGAGGGAAACCTCTGTTGTTTTTTTTTTTTTTAAAAGAACCTAAGAAATGTGATCTGTCACACTGTCAGAAAATGTATTACACCAATTTCAGTTCTTTACAGTTAACCTCCGGAAATATTTATACTGTATGCATGGAAATAATAACAATTCCAAGTGCTTCATATATTAAATCTAAGTTCAAGTCAAGAATTTGAATCTACCCTTCTCCTGCAAAGAGGGTTGAATAAAAAGTTAGGGAACTGAAATCTAGAATACGTTAATGTGGTACTAACAGTTGTAGTCATCTGGAAAGAGGAGGACCCATTTTCAAATCTGTTCTTCTGCTACGGAAGACAGTGGTTTGAACCTGAGCTTCTTTCCTTCCTTTCAGTTATGAAACAATGCTGACATTCTTCAAAGAATGTGAAAAAGAATGAAAACAGCCATCTGGAGGTTTTGGATTATCACCTGAGAGTTATCTTATAGTTTCTGCTCCAGTGAATATTTTATTGTATCAGGTGAATCAGTACGAGGAAAGACAGACAGACGATACCTAATTCACACTGCATTTTGACTCTCAGAGTTAGGCAATGGTGGGCTCAAACTCCTTTGGTCGTTGCAGAAGTTTAGCTTAGATGTCTCACTTCCAGCTGGTGATCTAGCACCAACTTCAGTGTTGTGAATCTAGCCTCCAGCATTATTTTCTTTTCCATCTGAAGATATTTGACAAATTTTATTCAGTGTTTGTTGTGACCAAAATTACGGGTTTTTCTGAATATAAACTATGACATAAAAATTCACAGAGGTCCTGTCCAGCACCCATCTCAAACTGGCTTTTGGAAATTATTTGCATACACTATGCATATGAGTTTTTAAAGAATTTCTTCCCTGCAGAGTCAGAGGAAGCTTTATTTGCTCATCTGCATTATCCATATTGACTGCTTGGGGCTTTTTCGTAAAGGTCCCTGAGATAGCTTCTTTTATTTAACAAAGTAAGTAAATCTATACTGTATTTTTCATAAGGTAGATAATCTATATACTAACATTAATGTAAGCATTTCCAGAAAATCAAGGGTCCTTTAAGTGAATGAAGACATATGCAACTACTGTAAGTGAGGAATGAAATACTGCAGCATCTTTTAAAAGTAGTATTTTAAATAATAGCATATATTTAATGCTGTAATTTAAATTCATGGACAGACAAATTTAAGTGGTTTTTTTTCCCTCTAATATTGCAGCTGTAGCTTATAATTATGTTTTCAATGAATTTAATGTAACATGGATTTGGTTTTCAGTGAGAACTCAGAGTAATTACCACGTGTCTAATGTTAATTATTGCAAATGAAAAAAATTCTGCATATTCAGGGTCAAATTCACAACTAGCATAATTTGGTGTAACTATCCTGACTTCGTTGTGTTGCTTCTTTTTATTTCATCTGAGAATCTGGCCCAACTTTCTATAAAAAATTGATCTATGTTTGAAATGCTTAATAGGGTATCTAAGTAAATATTTTCTGTATTTTTGACAATTTATAACACAGATGACAGATTTATAACAGATTTTTTCTACCCTTTTTCAGATTTGTTAAGGAACTACTGGAAAAGAAAGTGAGTTCTCCTTTGTATTGACTTTTGTATTCAGAAGATATGTGTGAATATATGAAATACTTAATCCCGCTGACAAACTCTGCTGTCTTAGTGACAAATCAATAAATATGCATCTTTCTGTGTGGTAGACAGATATCATCACTCTGAAAAATGTTCTGCTAGCTATGTTGTTGAGAAACGCGCTTATAGCAGTGTAAATTCAGTTTCAAGTGGTCAGAGTACAGCGGAGTAATGTCCTGTGTGTGTTCTCTATTGACTTTAAAATGTTCGGCATCCTAGAAAGGACCATTTTCTGTTAAAGAAAGGTGGAAGTCAGTCGATCACTCGGTAGTATATAAATAGACTAGCAAAAGAATTTCTCACCAGCAGAAATCAGTGTTTTTACAGTACAGTTACTAATCCATTACCAAATTAGTATTTTGGGTCAGCACATGTCTTCCAGTGTGTTTCTAAAGAAATTCAGGTTTGCACTCCTGAGGTGAAGATAGAGGTTTACACTCCAATATTACAAGCAGGGATACTTTTCTTATCAGCTTTTTGTTTTCAATGGCTTAATTTGTTGACATCCAAATATTCAAAAACAGATGCCTAGAGTTTAATGCCTAAATCATATGTATTAGTAGAGTAAGTCGGCTAATTTGCAGAAGTCCTGAGCTCCTTGTATCTGGGAGATGGTATAAGAAACTGCAAACCAAGTTATCATATACTGTCTTCTAGTGGTGCCACATACACAACTATTGCCTGTGGCTGAAGGCAGAGTTTTAATGCCATTGTCTATTTTTTATGAAAAATTTAATCCAGAAGTGCAAGGTCTAAAGTAAACATCTGTAGCTCTAGTCTTGGTGTCTTCTCCACTGTTCCCTACTGCGTAGCATATCTGGTGCTACCACTAATCTTCCTATCTAGGGAGTTCGTTGCTGTTATCAGTGGAGCAGATCGAACAAGAAAAAGGCTTTGGTTTTACAGAACTCTGCAGTTTTGCATCATTACGTCTTTGATATTCACAGAAGCAGAACTCAGGAAAACGTCTCGTCATTCATCTGACTTATTTCTCCATAAGTAATGTATACTGGACTGTCAGCAAATATGAAAAAGCATCCAGTGCTTCTCTTGAAGTCTGGTAAAATCTCAGTGACTCAATGAAAGAATTCTAATGGAAATAACTTCTTTACTAAGTCTCATTAAAACTGTTTTCAGAAGAAAACTTTGATTCTCTATTTCTGTGATGAAATTTCTAATAAAAATAAGGAAATGACTATACAGCTTAATTTGAGTTGGCAAGGATGCAGTAAGCAATAAGTGATAGAGACAAAATGTAATTGCTGTGTAAATGCTTGTCTTAGTTATGGTTACTGATATATAGATGTAGAATCCCAAGCATGTCTTTGTAATATTTTCAGTATCCAAGGGTACAGCCTGTAATAACCCCCCGCTTTGGCCCTTCCTGCACAGAGGATTTGCTATGTGCACTTGGCGATTTAGCACGGGCTCGTGATCTCCATGTGCAGGTAAGCTCTGAGAGCTCTGTATACAATTTAAATAGTTTGGATAGATAACATACAGACCAGGGAGTTTTCATAATTTCAGCAAAACACTTAAACCGCGTTCTTACCTTGGAGCCTGTCTTCCAAATTCCTCTGAAATTATTAAGAGTCCTCTGCAAGAACACTGTGACCCGCACAGGAAATGGGAAGGCTCTTAGCTGGAAGGATGCACAATTCAGCAAGCCCCAGCGCGTGGTGACTAGGAGACTGGCACCCAGTATCATAGGTTAGAGCAACCCTTGGGTTGCTAAAGGTTGCTCTCCCTAGTCCAAGGTTGTTACGTCTGTCTCTCCACTTTCTGCTGTTTCTGTACAGAGCAGATTTCAGCAGATGAAAGAATTACTCATCTTTGTATCTTATTTGACATTGTTAACATAGCTGTAGGATTTCCAGTGTGATGAAGTTTCTGTGTTTAAAAAAGACATGTTTCAAAGCTTACAGGTATGTTGAAACTTTAAGATGTTTCTCTTTTTGTTGCACCATTCTAAGCATATACTGTTTTAAAGCTATCCTACATTAGGATTTTTTGTCATTACGAAGTGGGCATTTTGCAAATATATGCTCCAATGGGAGTACAGGAGGATCAGATTTTTATCTGAGACCAGGAATTAATCAGCCCATCCGTAGATACATGGAGCAGCTACCTATATGTTGCCCTGATCCCAGGGTCCACTCTGTGGTAGGCTGTTTCTCTCTTTTACCTCACAGTCATATGTATTCTTTTATTTATTATTTTAACATTTGCCAAATACCAAGTGGGCCATTATGTCACCAAACTACTGGGACGGACTATCCAGGCATACCATCTCATACCACTTTTAAAGAAACAAACGGAGCTACTCTTTTGGGTCCCAGGGACCTCTCCGATGAAAAGAGAAACCCAGGGACTGGATCTAACTATAGGCTTTTTAACGACAGTTTCTATCATTATATGTTTAGCACCAGTAGATTGCTCAGAACATTGTAATGTCAGGTTTAACGCTATTTAAAGCACTCATTGCTGTATATTTTCTTATTGCAGAGCCACATAAGTGAGAATGAAGAAGAACTTAAACTTGTGGAGAACATGTTTCCTGCCTACCAGAATTACACTGAATTGTATGATAAAAACAAGCTGCTTACCAGCAAGGTAGCTGCATAAAAATTTCCACAGCCTAGCTTAAATTTATCCATGTAGAGAATATGATGGTTAACTGTAGTTACCTGAAAAGTTTGTATTGTTTTGTCAAGGTCAGTGACATCTGGGGGAAAGTAAATTGGTTTTATGTTCTCTGTTGCACAGGTGTTGGTCAGGGTATTGGAACTTTAGACGAGCCCACACTTTTCCTAAGCATCTTAGGGGAAATGAACAATAAAGGTATTTTATGCTTCCTGATCCATTTTCCAAGGGCTCCAAAGAGAATTGGGGCAGTGGGATCAGCAGGAGTCTAGGTAAAGCTGATATTGTAGGAGCTGGTAATTCTTAGGCAGTACCTAGTTATCCTTATATTACAATGCTCTTGCACGCTGGTTTTGCCTGAAGATTTGTTCTATGGTGTTATGACAGGACCAACTTCATTTTTTGGCAGTTTCCTACAGAAAAGCAGCTTGTCCTGTTGTGTTCTGTGTGTGAATCTCACATACAGACAGGTACACTTTACTGTTGTGACTATCCAAAAGCACTCTATCTCATTAGCTGATTTTACCAAGTATTGGGAGGCACAGTGGCCTGAAGAGTTGAAATTCATTAAAACTTTATGCTGGCGAGATAAATGCAAGCAGATCTGATACCAACCCACGCTAAGTACTACGGTTGGAGTGCCTCTAATAAGGGCACATCTTATTAGGTGGTGGAGAGCGCATGCAAAAGTGAGTATGAGCAGCCTAACTACAGTCAGAGTGCTTAAACATCAGTCAAATAGATTTAAAATTTAGGAGAGAATTTTCAGAGGCGCAAAGGGCAGCTGGCAACTTCTTGGGAATTAGCTATTGAACTCCCATTTCTGTCTTAGAAAATGTACCCCAGTATATTACTTATTTACTGTCCTTTTTACCTGAGAAACCAGTATGGACTACTTAAGTATTACATGTACACAATATTAAGTTTTGTTCTCTAGCACAGTCCTATGCGTGCTGTTTTGTTTCATCAGCGTACTAAAGAGAATATTAGTGCTGCAAAAACATACGTCTTAATTCTGTCAGACTTTTATACGCACAGCACTGAAAATGGTCACTGAAAATCAGGGTTACTGGTGCTTTCTGGCGCCAGGCTCCTGGTTGTTTGGGGAAGCATTCTGTTAAACACAAGCATAACAAAACCGCAGACATTTGCCCCTCCCCAACCACCAAAACTAAAACACCAAATAAATTTTTTTTTTTCATGTTTTAAAAGTATGTTTTTCAGAGCTCTGGATAAAATACTTCCTTTTTTTAAAAAGAAGTA